AGATAGCTATTAGCTAATAGTTAGTATTCATTTATTATTTTAGTGAAAATAATTTAAATTATTTTTTTTCTTCTTTTAAACAGTGACCTACCATCAAAATAAGGTACGATAAGAATACGACGGTATAGGCATTCTTATTGTTTATATTTTACATTTGTATTTGTCTTTATATGCATAATATGATTTTTAAACTATACGAAAAACATAATTTATTTATCCAAATATTAGTAAAACTGTATTCGTATTATTTCAAAATGGATCAGTATAAGAATTTTATCTTAATAACTTATAGGTATTGACTTTAGTGAAAATCGGGTAACAACGATTTTTGAGTGAAAATAACTTTGATGCACTTCAACTATGTTGTATGTTGTGGAACTTTTAAGATTTGTTGTAAAAATTGATTTCTTAATGCTGTATCGAATAAAGAAAGTAAACAAATAATAGYTATATTACAGACACTCGTAACTTTATTATAAAGATGAGCGTGGAACTCCTGAAGAAAACGGTTAACACATTTAATAATTTACGTCAAAAGAATTTAATGTTTTCTTTTCTTTTAAACGGGTTTAAGTGACTTCCCAAAGCCATTGTTGCTTTTTACTTATCAACAATCACGGTGTCAGTTTTAGTAGTTGGATGCTGTAGTAGAAGATTAGTTGTAAATTAATGTTAAATACTCAACGACTAGCCTATCGATGTCGAAATACCTATCTAAATTTTTATTCCGATATCTGACAACCAGTATTCAGCATTAGAAAAATGTTTTTTTTTCTCTTAACCGATCAATAATATTTTAATTAACCTACCGTATTTTAACCATTAGTGGCTATAATATTATCATCAAAATTCTAACAATAATTTTAAGTTACAAATTATTACACTATTCATTAGTTACAGGTTATTACTTGTTGTGAATTTTAGCTTTTGTGTACAATCAATTATAAACGAATTTTTCTTTAAATTTGAAGAATTTGTTTAAATAAGTAGARAACATGCGTGAGTAATATAATAAAATATAAGATGCTGTCTTATAGTAACAAATTTGATATTTTTCTAAACGGCGCTTGATATGTATAATTTTTTTTTTTCTATTGTGTATCGTGTATGAATGAATTTCTCTTATAAACGAAATAAGGGTTTTAAGCGTAAATCACTTGTATAATTCAAATTATCATCAACGCATTTTTTTTTATCTCGCGTGGTCCCCGCGTGGTCTTGGGAAATCTTTAAACTGTGATGTAAGATACATAACTAATAACTATACACACACACATATATATTAYACACAACGAAACACACAATTTTTATGTATATGATATGTGTATAGTGTGTACATAAATCGGTCGAGCATTTTTTTTTTTATAAATTTTTTTTTATGCACTATGTACACGTATACCGCAGTTGTAGTTATAGTAATTTATATACGTATATAATATTAATATACGAATGATAACGTGTGAACCAACAGAGTTGAAAAAAAAACAGAAATCTACTCCTAACCGCTGCGCCACTAGGGGATCCCAATGGTAATCTCGTAGCAGATGCTGCACAGACGGTGGTAAACATAATAATAATATGGGCGATTTTTCGAAGCACATGCGACCGCACCATCGAACGGAGGTCGCGGGCGTTCGACGTAGACGACACACACAGACACACTACACTTGGTGTTTTAGGTCACACGCAAAGCCGCGTGTTAAACGCGAATAATAATAATAATAAACACACACGGCGAAAACAATAATATTAATATAATACGACGACTTGGCGTGTGCTTTGCTACATGACACTCTATATAATAATGTTATACGCGTACATATACATAATGCAATATATAGGTATCGTGGACATCTTCGGGAGAGTTGAGCGCCTTCATACCTTATTGGACGAGGCCGGGGTCGATCTTAGGCCTCGGTTATAAATTGCCGTTTGCCTTCTTCTTCCAGTAATCAATATAGTAATTTAAGGTATATAATTATATATGTATGTATTATACATAACTTGTAATCACCACGTCATTCTATGTTCGCACTGCGGAATGCTTACATGTAGTAAGTTAACTTCATTAAGTTATGTATAACTTATTATCTATATCTATTTGGTAGGTACTTGTGTTATACCTATAAATAGTGGCATTTATTATTATAATATTATATACTCATGTACGCAAGATAATATCAGCCACTGCACAAGGTGCTCAGTGATCATCCTCCCCTTTTATACTGCTAATCCAACAAACGATGCAACTATTCATATTAATATATTATGTATATACTACGCGTAAGAAACTATAATTACACCATCTGGTGATAATAAAAAATCTAAAATATTGAATCTGGTAAGTCGTTCTTAAATCGATATTCTATTAAAATATATAAAAAATAATATACTCAAAGATTTTGCATGATGACTTTAAATTTAGAGCGAAATTTATTTTACAATATTTTTTTCTTATTAATATGTATGGTGCACCTATCATTATTTAGTGTTTACACGATGTTTTATAACTTCAATCTTCAACTTTGTAATAAATATTAAACTACTATTTTTGTGACTTACTCGATGACAATGTGTCGTGATACACGTGGAYTTTTACTATACAGCAGACTGCAGAGTGAGTTCCTAAGACTTTTTTGTATATTCGCCACGTTGTATATTGAGCTAAGTTTTTTACTTTTGTATAATTCATTAAATGTGGTATTAAATAAAACTTGCAGTGCAACAACGTATTCTTTTGTAATMATTGTTTTGCCAGCTGATAGCATAGATTTATTTTTGATAACGAAAAAATACGTACAATGACGCGCGGTAACTATTTTCATCATAGCCGCAAATAGAGGGGGCTGGAGTGGTTTATCCCCCTATAGAGTTTCTATAGCCCCCACCACCACACTCCCAGGAAAAATATTATGATATTACGACATAATATATTAGAACTTACCCGTGTGTAGTTTTTGCTGACCTGAGTTACAGCTTTCCCCAAATTTCAAACACTATATTTGCGCCTATGATTCTCATATTATATGAAACAARTGCAATCTTGAAGTGTTCATTGATATTGATAACGTATGATTTTAAATCCAAAAGAGTTTATAGATTGTTCGTATTATTTTGTGTTTTGACTTGAGTTTTTCCCGCAGAAGTCATCTTTATTAGTAAAACGTGTGAACACTTTCAGACCACCTGTATGGTTGTATACCTATTGTATATATTATAGAGCAAGAAATGTGTAAATTAAAAAAATTTCATTTACTTTATATATGAGTAATGTGGTATAGATTTGAATAATAATAATAATAATAATAATAGTATGATGTGAACACACAAGTGTAAAGACAAAATAAAAACAAAACTCTTCTGTTCAAGGAAAAGGTCGTTTATTGTTGTGTTTGTACACGCATGCACTGAATATTAAAAGAATTAAATAAAACCAAATAAATACAAAACAAAAATATCATCGTTGGTAAACCTACTTTCATACATAGGTAAACAATATTATTTGAATAACACCCCAGCTGCATGCGCACTAAATTACACGCACCGAGTGCATTGTAATGCAATAATATCATATCGTCATTATAATGTATTATATAAGTGCTTACAGCACACGCTGCACCGACCCCTCGATGAACGGTTTTCCACCACGTTTGAAAAAACGATAAATTTCGTCAAGCTAGTCGACAGCACCCTTCCAGTATAATAATATAATAGTTATGTAAAATTATACGATGATAATCTTAGTATATCAGTTGTACCTATGTGAATCAGGAATCTGCTGCAGGATAAAAATATCCGGTGCGATACCATGGTTATAATATAAAATGTTTTGAAAAAAAAAATATCAAAGGTAAACTTTCTTTTAAAATGGAAGTGTTTAACGTTATTAATTAATAAAGTAGAGTCTTAAGTATTGGTTTTGCGAGTATAGGTATCTAATATAAGGTATATAGCATCATTGTATGTATGGACCAGTATATCGATTCATCCACTAAAACGACAAAATATTTCAAGTGAATAAAAAAAATATTGTATTATATGTATATGCACAAAATAGGAAAAGTATGATTAGTGTTTTCGTGTTTCAATTGACCAGAGCAGAGACGGTAAATTATTCATCTATATTTATTTTAAAAGTTTGATAACTTATTTCCRTTGAGTATTCAAGCAAACAACTAAGTTTATGAAATTTTAGACAAAAAATTAATCATATACGTGACATGCATAATTCTATATATAATTCTGATTACATATTTTAAACTTCTAAAATGTCATTTTTATATCCAATCTTAACCAACATAGAGGGTGTAACCTAAGAAATATAAATTTTTTTTTGTGAAAGGGAAATTTATTTTTAATACATTATAATGTGTATGTTTAATTTTTGGATCTGAGATATTTTTACTGAAGCAAGAAGGAGTTATTTGATCGTCTATGGTTACCTGGCTTATGATTGAAAATTKATTTTTTTTTTAATTCATAAGATAAACAGCGTAAGACACAACCGTTTTTCATAAATGTATGGTATTATTTTGTYGTGACTTATTTGAATTAATTAATGCAAGAGACTTAATTCTCTCAGAAGTATGTTGGTATAAATATTATAATAGATATATAATATAAATAGGATTTTTTTTCGGTTCKCTAGGTAGGTAGGTATTTAAAAATTGTTGAAATATTGAATATGTTTTCTTTGAATTTTAATTCAAGTAGGTACCTACACCAGAAATTGTTTATTATTATTATTTAAAAAATACTGAATTGTTTTATTTTGTAATACTTAAGTAAAATTTAATACATTTTTAAAATGTTTAATTTATTTACTATACAGAACTTATAAATCGATATTTTTTCAAAACTGTATTTTGTCTTAATAATCTGATATTCTGACGCGTATACCTATTACATAGTATTTTACGGTTGTAATTGTTACGCTTAGAGGTAGATTAGGTGAGACARCAACAACAACAAAACTAGATAATAGCKAAAACGAAACCCACCTGTTCGTGTTTTTTCAGATAGCTTCCCCGGGGAAACGTCTTGTCGCAGTATTGGCATGCGTACGGGTTGGTGTCGGTGGCGTTCGCTGCGGCTGTAACAGCGGCGACGGCAGCGGCGCCGGCCGTGGCGTACGACGGTGGACGGCTGTGGCGATCGCGTCGGTGGTCGACCGTGGAACCGGGCCGGCTGTTGCTCGTGGCGCAGCTGTCCGGCGACGTGTGGTCCTCTGACACGGCCGAGCTCCACGACGAAGCTGCCTCTTCGGTGCTCGCCTCGCCCGCGCCACTCAGTGCTTCTGTGGAAAATCAGTACAAGTTAAATTACCATACCATAATAGCTCTGGTTTTGCGAGTATAGGTATCTAATATCAGGTATAGCATCACTGTATGTATGGACCGGTATATCGATTCACCCGYTAAAACGACAAAATATTKCAAGTGAATAAAAAAAAAAAATTGTATTATATGTATATGCACAAAATAGGAAAAGTATGATTAGTGTTTTCGTGTTTCAATTGACCAGAGCAGAGACGGTAAATTATTCATCTAT